TGTATACTGAATAGCAGTATTTGTCTAGGAACTCACTGAATAACCAACTCTTCCTGCTTCAGCATCTGGGTGCTGGGATTCTAGGCCTGAATAACCTCACCCAACTGTAATAAGAGAGCTCGAGAACATGATATTTAGTTGAATTTCTATCATGGAAAATATTGGTATATTTGGAGTATAAGATAAAACCTCATTTATAAAATATTAATATGGACCAATATTCCAATTTAGATATGTACACAAATAAATGTATTCATTCACACATATTAAGTAAAGAGTACTTTATTAATATAACAGTATTATAATGCAAATTTGTAAAAAAAAAACCAGAATATCAAAAACCTAATAGAACTATGGATAAAGTATAGAAAACATTACAAGAAGAAAAGATCTGTTTAATCTCATTAAGAGAATACAAATTAAATAATATCTCTCACCCACTAGAGACTTAAACAATGATCACTGAGGATAATGTTTATGAAACAAAGTGGTGGAAATTTCTTTTGGGTTCAATGCATCTATGTTTTCAAAAGTTTTTAGATGTATACATTAATGTAACAATTTGAGTTGTAGGAATTGACTCCGTAGATAGCCTGCTGCAAGCATGTCACTAATGTAGCAAGTGATGGTATCTCCTCTCTATAGTAGTGGAAGGCCATCTTGTTCCTATGGCCATGGGAAGATGCTCATGGGCTGTTAAGTAAAAACGTGCTTTGCCGGGATTCATCCGTGGTCATGAAGTTAGTAAAGCAGGTGCTTATGTGGCAGGATTACTTCAGATTTACAGATCATGATGCTGCAAATTGTTAAACATCAGTGGATTGGGAAGAGACACAGGCATAGATCTTTGATGTTTTAGCCCATAATATTCTATGCTATGTGCTTCATTTTTTAAAGATAACTAATTACCTTTTTGTTCTTCTGAGATGGACTCTCAGTCTGTAGTGCAGGCTAGCTTGGAAATCACTATGTAAACTGGGCTGGCTTTGAATTTGTGACACTTCTCGTTCCAGAGTGCCCAGCCCCCAGCCCAGAGCTAGGATCACAGATGTGAGCCACCAGGACTGGCTGACTAATTACTTTTATGATATATTTTAAAAGTTTTATCGGCTTTTAGGAAGAAGAAAGCTTCAGTAATACTCTACTCTAGTGGATTATAAATTACAATAGTTTTCTCTCATACCTTCTGTTGGCCGGTGTTATGTAATATCCAAAAGCTAGAGACTTAGTCTTGTATAAAAGTTCTTATGAAGTAGTGACTACTAAAACAATTTCCCTTCTTTAGAGAGGGGCAGGATGGGTGTTTTATCTTAATTAATTATTTTTATCAGCATTTCCTCTCTGATTTACTTGAGGATCTTCCTCAAAAACAGAAATAAGAAGGCTAGACAGACAGCTTAGTAGCAAAGAACTTGCCCAGCATGTAAAAGGCCCTGTACTCAATCTCTGGCACCACAAAAGTTAATAAATAATAGTAAGTAAAATAATAGAAAGATCTAAAAGGCCATGAGAAGTTTTAGATCAGGAAATCTCTCTGCACCCTGCTGTCTAGCTCTAGAATGCTGAGTTTTACCATGTGTGCAACTTAAGCCTTATGTGAGGTCCTTATCACAAGCCGGATAGGTCTTTCAGGGCTTGGGTCTGTTTTGCTGGTCATGAGTGCACTTTTAACTTTAAAGGTCATGTCGAGATAAATGTCAGAGGCAGCCCACGCCCACAGAGCTCAAGCAGACATTCTTAAATTTTATCAAAATTCCATTAAAAGCTGTCAGATCCTTGGTTCCCTGCTGTTACAAAGGTTCAGGAATACTCTCAGCAGACGGCGTTTTAACTTTCTGTCAGGTTTACCTAATACTCTACTCTCTAGCTTTTCACTTTATAATTTTCTCTGGCATTTGGAGAGAATAAAAGGAAGGAGCCATGCTATTAATACTAACCTCTGCTGTTCAAAAAAAAAAAAAAACTAAAGTAATTTTAAAGCATGACAACATCTTGCTAGGAAACATTACTGTCACGTGTCAAAATAAAATGCAGGGGAAATACACTAGGCTGTTTAGAGGACTAGAAGTGAACCAGGAATTGAGCTATGTCCCTTTAAAGTGAGAGAGCTAAAGGAGCATTGAACTTGTTGGCCTCCTTGTATTTCTTCACTGGGCATGAGGAGTTTTGATCAGTAGGCTGCACAGTGGCTATCTCTACCCTAGAGTTGGCCGATAGCTGTGCCAGTCCTCGAGTTTCGGTCCATTCCCTGTTTACTATCTCAGCCACATCCTGCTGGACCTGGATGTTCCTGCTTATGCAAACCACTGTCTTGTTGTATGTGAGGGTCTGTGCCCACCAGACATATGTGGATCACTCCTGGTAGTCATGTGCTTCATAGGCAAAAATCCATTGAAAGATGTGAGGCAGGAGAGTTGACGGACAAGTATAGAATTAAATGGTCTTGTATCACAATTAACAGGAAAGAGTGTTTGCTTCATTGAGTAATGTGGATAATCTTAGAAGGGGGAACAAAAGTTGAACTTATAGAACGCATGCCCATTGTTTTTAAGTCAGTTTATAAACACCTTCTGACTGTTTCTGTCCATTAGTAAATCTCCAGCATCGAGCAACTTACACTCCATAGAGTGTTCTCAAGTTGTATCTATCTCCTGGAGGATGGATATGGAAGAAGACGTAAGAGGGACTCAGTATTCTATTCACAACAAACCAGCAAGACGTTTATATCAGAGCACAGCAGATGGAAACCAACCATGCTAACTCAATTATAACCAACACTTGGTTAGGTACAACCTTGACGAGATTATGGGAATATTTCACATTATTTCAAAATGCAGGTGGTCAGGCAAGATGTCTCAGCAGGTAGAGGTCTTTGCCACCAAGCTTGATGACCTGTGTCTGGTCGCAGGACCCACAAGTCTGAAGGACAGAGCCAACCCCTGCAAATTGTTCTGACCTCCACCAATGTACCCTGACATCTGTGCACCCACACAGATACAGACACAGACAAAATGTGTAATTTAGTATATTTTAAAAGGAACAGATACAGCTCCAGAATTCATTTAAATGTAATATCAATGGGTGCATTTGTTTCTTGGGTTAATTTTTTGGCTCCTGTGAGAAAGAAATCTCTAGTTTATCCCATTTCTTATAAACAGAACAGGCACTCAGAGCTGAGTTTTCACTCTCTAGTGCTGTGTGGGTTCCTGCTTGGAGGGTTTGTGGTATAGGGATGGAGATACGTAATGGGTACAGAAGAAGCATCTTCCGACTCCATTGCTCCTGTCTTGCTGGGGGCACTGCCTTGCCTCGCCTTGCCTTTCATATGAGCTCTGAGCTTGGAGCAGTGAAAGAAGTAACTCTTTAGTCTGCTTGGCTGTGTAGGAAAAGGACTCTGCCTCCGCGGGCTCATGGAAGTTCACTGGAGGTCTCAGAACTGTGCCTCCCATCAGAATAACCAACATTGAATTGCTTCTTTGGGGCATTTGATTCTCTTGTGCCCCTAACCCGAAGAGGGAGAGGTCTACATCAAAGTAGGATTTACAGATTGTGGATCTCCTGACTAAATACTATTATGTTCCAAGTGAGTCTCCCTTTTATAATGTTCCTGTATCTTTAAGCACATCCTATCCCAATCTTTACCATCATTCCTGCCATTCCTTTACTTGTTGGTAAGGTATGGCTGGCTGCCTATGCGGGAAACGTTATCCCGTGAACACTCTTTTTCAAAGGCTAAAGAAGAGGTGCTTATGTTTGAAAAAAGGTTGCCTTACTAATTATGTCAGACAGTCCACCTCACCTTGAGTCCCCAGAGAGCCACAGGAACAAATTGCCAGTCGATTTACAGTCATCTGTAGAAGCTCTGGGCCCTGGTTGACCCTGCTTTGTAGCTGTGGGAAACAGGTTCTCTTGCCCTTTAAATATTGACCAGCGGGATATCCTCTCTCCTGGTAGGGGAGTCTCATCAGCAGGGGGAGAAGACATGGTTTGAACAATTGAGATAAGTAGAAAACGGACATTAGATGATGTTACCTCGTACAGAGCTAGTTGTGCAGGGCTGAGTGTAATGTTGGGAGGACCTCCTTCGTCCTCAAGTAGCCCCTCTCAGATGTGTGGGGTTCATCTCAAGTTTCCTGTATTTTCGTGCACTGTGCAGTTTCTCATTGCAAGAGTGAGATATGCAGCCTTTTATCATCGAGGTCTTTCCGGAAATATTTCGTTTTACCTCAGGGAAAACAAAAGGCTAATGTCCTCCCCATTCCTGCCGATCTTATCAGTCTGGCACACATATTCTGTCCCCTTGTACTCTCACCTTACATGGAGACTTCAGACACACCGAGCTAGCATGCCAGCTGGCCCTGAATTTCAGCTCTTCCCCTGCTATGACTTTGAGCACATGTGTTGATGATAACGGACAGAATGTCTGAGGAAGTAAAAAAAACAACAGCAGCAGCAGCAGCAGCAAACAAAACTACAAGGATTTCAACGGACTTTTGTGAGAGTCCCTCAAACTTTGCAGAGAGAAACAAGGGGAGTTAACGTGTTTGGGGGTACACACATCAGTATTGTGCAGTTTTCTTCTTTATTTCCTTCTTTGCTTGAACCAAACTCATCAGTTGTTCAGCTCTGAGCCATTCATTATTGGGGATCGGCATTCAGGCAGATGACCACTTACACTCTTTCGCCGCTCCTCGGCAAATTTCATCAGTAAACTGAAATCTTTTATTGCTAGCAAATGCCAAAATTACCTATGCCTCTTCCCCCACCCCTTGGAAACACGCCTTTACCTTTTCAGTCTTCCTTTGGAACTATTTATTCTTCAGTTGATATCTACCTGTTACAGTGAGAAAGGCATCTCACATGGAAGAAATGTAACATGTGTATGCAAATACTAATGTGGTGGCTTTGAATTATAGATTAAAACACTTGGAGGCAAGAGCTCGAGTTGAAACCACTGAGAATGGTCTAACCTTGTGTCGCTCTGCTGGCTTCCTTTCCAGTTTAACTCAGCTGCCAAGCAGCTGATAGAGTGGGATAAACCTCCCGTGCCAGGAGTGGACACAGCAGAATGCCCCTCAGCAACAGCGCAGAGCAGCTCTGCCTCAAAGCACTCCGACACCAAGAAGAACACCAGGAAGCGACACTCCTTCACCTCCCTCACCATGGCCAATAAGTCTTCCCAGGCGTCCCAGCACCGCCACTCCATGGAGATCAGCCCTCCTGTGCTCATCAGCTCCAGCAATCCCACAGCCGCAGCCCGCATCAGCGAACTGTCCGGGCTCTCCTGCAGCGCCCCGTCTCAGGTACATGGGCAGGGTCAGCTGCCAAAGCATTCGTGGGCTCACCATCGGTTAAAACCCCTGAAGACGGTAGCTTTCCTTGCTGTCTCCTATATATTTGCCTTAGTTATATTCCCACTGCTAGGATAAATACCTCGCAAAAGCGACTTGAGAGAGAAAGGGTTTGGCTTGCAGATCCAGGGAGATGTGGTCCTTCTTGGTGGGAAGATATGACAACAGGCAGGGAAGGTTTCAAGAGCAGGAGGCTGAGAAGGCTTATTACATCCATGCTCAGGAAGCTTAGAGTGAACAGGAGGTGGGGTCCAGCTACCAAGCCTCAAGGTCTGCTCTCCCAGAAATCCATTCCCTCTAGCACAAGTCTCTTAAAGATGTCATGACTTTTCCACACAGCACTTCTAACCAAATACGGGAGCCTGTGGGGGACATTTCACATTCAAAGCAGAACAGTATACGTAAGGAAGGCGAGCTTGAGTTCATCCCATAGTAAGGTCTTAGAAGCAGTATTAGAACCTACAAGATGTGTAAAGTATTGCCTATCAATTTCACGTTCACTCGGTTTACAAAACTTCCCAGTGCTACAAACTTTATCTCAGTTCACGCCCACAGTCCTCAATTTGATGCTCAGGATATTTGGAGCTTCTCACACCTTGGTACTTAGGTTTCCCATCCAAATAATAGAGCAAGAAAAGAAAGGATAGAAACATTCAACTTAGAAATTTGACCTTGCAATTTTAAAAGGCTCTGTAATTCATCAAGACTACCTTAAAACACAGCCACGTGTTATTTGTGTGTTAAGAATGCATGGGCCAATTGCAAGCATTCACTCATTCATTTGGCAATTGATTGTTGGATGTTGTATTATTAGACCCTTGGGCACAGTGTGTAATGAGATATATAGAATACAGGCGTTCCTTATGATGGTCCTATTCTGGTCTACAGAGTGGATCTAATTGTTGTGCTTTCCCAGAGGGAAAGGACTGTGTCATTATCCACTTAGAGAGCAGCTGCACTTAGCTCAACCTGGAGGTCAGAGAGCACTGTCCCAAGCAGCCTGACACAGCAGGAAGACTTTCTGTGTAGGCTTAGGTATCGTTTTATTTCATGCAGATTTTTTCCACAATGCAGCTTTGGGTTGTTTTTCCTTAAAATTTAAAAATGAAATTCTCATTAAAGAAAAAAAAAACAAAGTTAAAAAAATATATAATCCTAGTTCTGAAGAAGTTTATGTAGTTTAATAAGTTTCTCTTTGACATGGCAGACTAAAAGTTGGCCATTCCTGAGTAATTTTATTAAAAGTCGTTTTTGTTATTTATGTCAATTTATTAATTTATTTATGTATTTATTTATTTATTGTAAGTGATAAGGTTATAGAGCTTTTGATTTTAGTGAAGAAAAATAGAACATGCACAATACATGGTTTTAGTATGAGGGGGGGTCTTCATTTTGGTTACTGACAACATCGAGCGTGGCATACATAAGCAAGCACTCAAAGTCTCCTTCAATGGATGAGTTACTTGAAAACTAGGTGGGGAGAGAAATGCCCTGACCTTTGACATAACCAATGATCTCATGAAAATAGACATGAGTTTCAGATCAGAGCATGAAGCTAGATTGTAGGTCAGAGTTCAGAATACCAAGCGAGGAGAACCTGGGGAGATTCCGTGGGTTTTTGAGTAAGCATCTGGACAAGGGGTTGGTGAAGAATCCCTAGCACAAAGCCAATCATTCTGAATGAGTTTGTTTTGTGCGTGTGATGAAGCAGTAGCAACATTCACACGATAGGGCTTTCTTGACACAGAAGCGGGCTCATGTGAGGCACGCTGACAGCACTGAACGAGAAAGGATTTAAAATAGTGGACCGTGCTTTTTATTTGGTAGTGGACAAAGTTAAAAGGAAAAGGAAGGTAGGCTAAGCAATTTTAAAAGGCTCTGTAATTCATCAAGACTACTTTAAAACAAGACCACGTATTATTTGTATGTTAAAAATGCATGGGCCAATTGCAAGCATTCACATTCATCTGGCAATTGATTGTTGGATGTTGTATTATTAGGTATCAGTTAGTATGTATGTATCAGGTGTCAGTTTGTCTCGCAGTGCCACACCACAACTGGGGACAAAGGCTGTGAGAGTGTGCCTATTCTTGTTTGAATCTGAGTGCTTTAGGAAGCAAGATGCTTTCTGTTTCCTTGCATCTGCCCTCTCTTCCTCCCCCTCCCCGCACCTCCCTTTTGTAACCAACTGGTTGTTTTCAGTGGTGGTGTGTCGCCTCAGGGAAAAGTTATTTCTAGCAGAGGATAGGAGGTGTGTGAAACATTGCCTGGTTCTCCCGCTGAGATTTATAGAAAACATCACTTATCTAGGGCACCTTACACGATGAAGGGGCCGTGGGTCCACAAGGAAGCTTTGAGTGTATGCTGTCCCCTCAACAGGCACATACACGGTCCTTGTCATGGAGAGGAGTCCATATAGGGAATGGCCAGGAGAGGCTGCTACAACCAGGCCTGCCCCAAGAGAAGTTGTCTCAGAATCTGCCTTCACCACTAGCGTGATTTTTAATTTTCCTAACTCACACTTACCTGATTTTCTTTCATTCCATTTTTAAGAAGCAAACCTAAGCAAGTCAGTATTCACGAGGGTCTCCCGTCTGAACAAGTGCTCCTGTCACAGCTGCATAGGCGGTTGAGTGCTGATACTGTGGTACTTAGGAAATGGGGCACCTCCAACCTCACTTCTCCTGATGATGGAGACCCTGGATATAACAGTCACAGGGTGGCCGAGGGTCAGAGGGTCAGAGGGCTTGCTTGCCGTTGTATTTGGTGGCTGTCGAGTGAGGACTGAACTTGAAAAGGTATAAACTAGGAAATCACTTCTAAGCTGTACCCTGCACACACGATCACGGGTCTCTGTGACTGACATCCATAAAGCACATGAAGACATTTGGTCTACCCCCAGTCATACCCATGATACCTGTGCTTGTGACATCCCAAGGAATGATTTATAATGTCGTTTGTGTCTGAGGTATTTTTGTATTGCCCTTGTCCTCAGGGGAAGCAAGAAGGCCCATCCGGTTGCTCCTGTTTTCTCTCCCCAACTCTCCCTGCTTCCCTAACCCCTTCTTATAGAGATGTACTAATGTCTGGTCCTCTGTGCTGAGGAAAAGACATCCTGTCTGTTGGGATATCTACTCTCCCGGGGTCTGCAGCATCAAGTAACACTCCCATATTCCTCAGCTGTATCTGCCCTGCAACCTGAGGGAAATTGATCAAGTAATTGGATGCAGTGAAATGACCTAAATAATTCAATTTCTTTCTTGTAAATTAATCCCGGGTAGTATCGTGGATGACACCTTTGAACACAATTTGGATTGACATTATTTCTTAAAGGTTCTATAATGAATTTTCTGCCATAGGCACAGCCAGGCTGCTCCATTTTGATGGCTGATCCTCACTGAAAGCTGGAAGTGAGAAAGAATGGGCTTGAAAATGCAGAAGTGCCTCAATAATTTTACATAGATTTGACCTATCAGTGGAGAGATGAATGTGGAGACCCAGCCTGCCTTCGCAGGGTCTTCATGAGAATGTGAAGCTAGATTAGCCCCAGGCTGACTGTCTGAACAATTTGATTCATGGTAGAATGTAAAATGAGGAGGTATCATGTTATGTGATAGCCAATGGCACTTTGTATATAGCACATTGTACTGACTGGCATATCTGGTACACACTGAATCTTTAGACAGTTCGGGACAGAATATGAAGAAAAGGATTCTGCCTTCCCTGGATAACTTCATATACAGATCTCTTGTTTATGTGACTTCGTCTAGGAGACACTGTTGTGTTAAATATGGTGAACTTGGGTTGGGGGGGATGGGCTCAATACAGTGCTTGCCATGTAAGCATATTGACCTGAGTTCTGATTCACAGAATATAGATAAAGCCAAGGCACTAGATAGTCGCAGCATGTTCCCACAGCAAGGGAGGAGGCAGACTGGAGAGTCCCAAAACCCACAGGTCAACTTGTCTGGCATAAGTAACTGGGTGAACAAGAGGCCCCTGTCTTAAATATAGATGGTGAGGACCAACATCAGAGATTGTTCTCTGACTTCCACATGGCACTATTGTGCGCACGCGTGCGCGCATACACACACACACACACACACACACACACACATACACACACACTCCTCCTGTTGGAGGAGAAAGCACAGCTGTCTTTTTAATAAACTGTTTTCCTTGGCAGGTTCATATAAGCACCACTGGGTTAATTGTGACCCCACCCCCTAGCAGCCCAGTGACAACTGGCCCTTCATTCACGTTCCCGTCAGATGTCCCCTACCAAGCTGCCCTTGGAGTAAGTATCATTTCTGTGTCTTTATTTCTCTTTGAGGTCTTTCGTCTTGATGGTCTGACGTATTCCAGCCAACATCTGCGGTGTACCCAGATGCCGCTAGGTGGGATTGCCTTTCGTCCGTGATCCCTGCTCATCTCACAGAAAAGACTGTCTTGCCAGCAGCCTACAAAATTGTTAATGGTGGCAATCAGAGGCCTGACCTGAAGCTAAGAGAACTCTGAAAGCTACACTTAATTTTATTGAAGTTCAGTTTGATTTCCCAAAGGCTTAACCTGTATTTCTTTGGGGTTTCCAGATCCTGCTTATTTATTTAATTGTTTAGAGATACATTTATAGACATTCTGAAGACATGGGCCTTTCCAGGTTAAATGGTTTGATTTTATTCACAGAATAAATTGATACCAAATGTCTGTTTTACTACTTTGGAGCTTACAGTGACTCTTTCATGGTCCCTGCTGCCCTGGGAGGGTCTTTTACAGTATGTTGATTTTTCTTCTAAAAACTTGGCATCCCACAGATAGATTCTAACCATCAGTTGCATAAAGACATCTGAATGGGGGGAGGGGGTTGACCTGGAGAATCATAACAGTCAAGAGAGATGGATGTAAAAAAAGAATAACTGTGGAGAAAAACAAGCAAATACACCCTTGGGTAACAGAAAAACAGCCCCCTTGCTTCCTAAAATCACAACCCATTGAGCAGCAAGGAACTAGAAAATATGAGAAATCTCTCATTTGGGCTATGTCTTGGTTACACTTTCAGGCTGTTGCTATTTCCGACTATTCCAGCACTGAGTAGAAATCCTTCAGCCAGACTGTGCGGTGTCTGGATTCCGGCATCACCCTCACTGATTCTGCATCTGGAATATCTGTTGGTCCTCTCAGAGAAACAGTGTGGTCCATTGAAGGGTTTTAGGTTTGGGATGGAAAGACTTGGGTTTAAGTTTGGGTCATTCAAGCCATTTTATTTGTCAGGTGACCCTGGGAAAGTTACTCAGCATCTTTCAGCCTCAGCATCTGTGCTGGTTGGCTTTTACCAATTTGACACAAACCTAGACACACATGGGAGGAGGTGTGTCTGTAGGGCATCTTCTTGATTATTGGTTGATACAGGAGGCCCAGCCTATTGTGGGATGTAGCATCCCTGGGCAGCATGCCTGGGCTATCCAAGAAAGGTAGATGAGCGAGCCAGAGAAGGCAGCTAGTACCAGTCACAGCTGCCTCTAAGCAGCTGCTTTGTTTCTAGGTTATAGATTTTATGTGTGTTGTAAAGGTATTTTCCTCTGCTAGGTTTCTTAAAGCTGAGTCTGTAGCCAGGGCAATACAATACAGTATATTGATACAACTGACTATATTGAATCCGTCAAATTTTATTGTTTTCCTTTTCCTCAATATTAATTTTGGCTTGATCATTTTATAATTAATTAAAAGCTAAGTTTTAAATCAAGGCGGGCCATAAATAACTGCTGTTAGTATCTAACTTCACTTAGACTTCTCAAGACGTTCACGGAATAAATCATGTTCTTCTGTTTAAATGGACGCCAGTGCCTTCTACTCAGAGGTTAAAGTTATTGGATTTGTTTTTCTCTTTTTAAATGCTCCCTGAGAGCTTACAGCTTCCTTGATAATACAGCTGCTTAGTGTAGGAGACATGGCCTCGATTCATCTGGGGAAAAGATGGATTTTAGTTAACGTTTATTAAATGTGGTTTCCACAAGACTCAGTTAGCCACAGAGGTTTCACTAAAGCCAAATTTCATAACCCATCCTGCCCTCTAATCTCCAGGGGAGCAACTTCTTTTTCTTTCCCACCAACACATATAACCACAGTGTATTTTCGTTCCAGATGACTCCCGTGCGTGGAAGCATTCTTAACTCCATGTCTTAAGGGGGAAAGGGAAGACTGACTTTAGAAAAATTAATTAGTATAAAAGATATAAGGCTGGCTGAGTTTTAGCCCTTGTGAACTGAAAATTTTATAATATAGTAAATGGCCAGTTCTTTGCTGGGGGTTGACTCAGGGGCAAATCAATGGAATAGGCCACAAGAGAGCATATAAAATTAATTCATGGTCAGTCATTTTTATTCTAGGATTTTTATAAGAAAGACTGCATATTAAGCAAGAGAGATTTATTAAACACTGTCTACTGCGCGCCAGCTCCATTTAATGAAAAACTAATTATAAACAGGCTTTTCTGTCATCCAGAGAAAAGAGTAGATCTCAAAGTCTCTAGTAGGTTGGCAGACATGCCGTGGATTTAATGTTGGTTTTGCACAGGAAACTCTCAATAGCACATGAGGCCCTTGGTACCTCCAGTTAATTGTAACAAGGATTCTATTTAAAATCTGAAGCATTTCAGGAGATGTTGTTATCATAGCAATAGTATGAAGCTTGGTAGGACGAAATAAAAAAATGGGCTTTTCATGTTATGGATGTATAGGAATTAAATGTCACCCCTGGGATAGGAAATGCAAATTACTTCCAGTGCTTTTTTCATAAATTGAGACTTTTAAATCTTTTATGCAGAATGGAGTTATTTATGAGCATATGTCTCTAACATTTCACACTCAACAGCGAGAATGTTCCGTCTCTTCCATCATGAGCAGAAGTGTCACGGCTGTTGATTCAGGCCATGAGCCTATTAATAATAGTTACTTGTTGTTGTTATTGTTGTTGTTGACTCGTTTTGTGGGATGAGGAAGCTGAAGCTCTTAGTCCTATATTTCCAGTGCAGGGGCAGAGGAAAGTACACAATGGGTGATTAGTAATTGCTGATACCGTGTGGTGTGTTTAGATGCAAACTGTCATGAGACAGCCCCATCATTAAAGGCCAAATACTGACTGCCCACCACAGCTTACAAATAGGTTGAATTCTAGAAGTCTAGAAACCATGTTTAATTTTTTTTCTCCTCTTCTTACTCCTTTTTGAGACAGTATCTCATGTAACCCAGGCTGGCCTTAAACTCACTATGTAGCTGAAGATATTCTTGAACTTCTGATCCTCCTGCCTTTACTTCCCAAGTACTCGAATGATGAGATTTAGTCTGTGCGCACGTATGCATGTACATGCATGTGAAGAAACATGAGGGTTGTGGATATCACTCAGTTGCTAGACTGCCTATATACCATGCATGAAGCCCCAGGTTTGATCGCCAGTGATCTATTAAAGTCATGATGCACACTTACAATCCAGTACTACATGTATGAAGACAAGATCATCAGAAAGTCAGGCTCACTCTCAACAACATGGAGGCAGGCAGTCCTAGCCTACGGGAGACCTGGTCTCATAAAGCAAATGAAAAAAGCCAAAAGAACGTTAAATGATGTCAGGTCTCAGAATAGGCAATATGTAGTTGGTGGCACCACCACTTCTGCCAACAGGAACAAGGAACTGTCAGAAGTAGGGCCCAGATGGAGACCACGAACCTTGGCACTTTGGGATGTGGCAGGGAAGTCTTTGGCAGGAGAGTTGAAATATATTTATTATATATATATGATATAATATATATCATATATTATATCATATATGTGTGTGTTATATATATTATATATTATATATTATATATTATATATTATATTTATTATATATATTTTATGGTTCAGTTTTCAAGGTAGTGTCTACCTGTGCAGCTCAAGTTGACCTAGGTCACTATATTGCTCAAACAGGCCTTGAACTCATGTCCTTTTCTCGTCAGCCTCCCCAGTGCTGGGATTACAGGCAGGAGCCACCTTGCCCAGCTTAGGACATCCATTGCAACAACAGAAAAGTACTCTAGCATCTCAGGGATCGAATCTTCTAGATCCAAATCGTATTGTCCTAAGAGGCAGTGAGAAGCACAGAACGTTTTACAATCATAGTGTTCACTGAGGGTCTCCTGCCTTCTGGCTGCAAAGCTAGGAGCCAGAGCCAGTTGTCTAACAAGCATTAAGTCAGTCTCTGACTCCAAAACCTCTTAAATTGTAACATTGCCTTCCACTTATTGACCTTTGCCTGTGCCCTGTGCACTGGGGAAATCAACACACACACCATTCCTAGTTATTAAAAGGTTAGAGACACCACATAATTCATACAAGTAACTAGTATGGGCATCTCTCCTCTTTCTCAGAGATTAAATGGGAAACAAAAAGGTACACAACAACACAGCTAAAAATAGCAACACTATTGACCCACGTGCACTCTCATGCAACCTAGCCTCTCTTGGACCAGTTTGTGCCTGGGATCCTGTATCCCGGAAAGACCATTTAGGGATGCTGATGTGTTGGGTTAAAGGTAGGGTGAGTGGAGAGTAGGTGATTGGGCAGCATCAGTGATGGGTTGTGGGATTTTACATGGTGTTTACCCATGCAATTCATTTCCTGTGAGGTGTGTGAGGAAGAGGCACACATAAGAGACGTTGGAAAGCAAAGGGGCCTTTGATTGTCACTTGAAATTGTGCCTATAATTCCAACGCAAAGCATTTTGGTAAGTAGTAAGATGGCCTTCAGCCCTTGGCATCAGGCTTGAAATATACAAGTCTTAGCCAAATCCAGGTCTAGTGCTGTCTGTGCTGGTCTCATGAAAAGTCAAGAGGAAATCATGCCAGGAAGGGCCAGCTTCACACCCACAGACGTAAACTTCTTACTTACAATATCTGGTGTCCAGTTTCCTATATCAGCTTCTACTAAGATAGAAGACATCTCCTCCCCGGATACACATTCTAGAAAGGAACAGGCTGGCTAGGGTGGAAATCTGTCACCCTTTCTGATAGGAAAAACTACATTGCTTCTGCAAGGCCTGCTAGTTGCCTTATGGGGACAGACCTGGGCATTGCAAAAGATGGCCATTTGATGTGGGTAAGCCACTCCTGAGTCTGGTGTTGATAAACAGTATGGGACTCGATGGCCTGTAGGTGTTTTTCTTTTGTTTGTTTGTTTGTTTGTTTGTTTGTGGTTTTGCTGGTAAAGGGTATATACTGCCTCTGCTAGCCCAGACTCCAGTGTAATAGGCAGGTCTCCAGGTCAGGTCTGAGTATATGAAAGGTTACTCTCTATAGAGATGTCAAATCTTGCAAGATAGCAAACTGCCCGAAGCACAGTGCAGGGTGGATCACCTCTTGAACTTCCACTGGGCCAGGTTTTTGCAGTTGAGGCTGTTTATAAAGCAAGCCACCGAGCTTCCTAGTGTATCACAGTTCTGTATTAGGAGAACCTGGTCATTTTCCCATCCACAGGACCAAGTAGCATCGAGAACTCTGATTTAATCAGGCATTCCCTCTATCTAACACACATTCACTCAGTGCAGAGAGGGAGAAAAATAATCTGCCTAGTGTTACAAAGACCATCTCTTCTGTTTCAGCTACAGAGAGAGATGACTGTACTTCACTTAGAAACTAGCTTTGGGTCTGTGTGTCTGAATGTCCCCTTTCCTGCCGTATTCCAATGTCTCACTCCGTCTCCTTTTACAAGCAATGACATTTGTGACCCTTCTTTATGTTTTGTTAAAATGTAAAATTTAGTTTTTTTTTTCTTTAATCAGGTCCATACATAAATAGATGTTTGTTTTTGTTTTGCCTCTAAGACATTTATCCCAGTTGCTCCTTTCAAATTTTTTTCTATAATATTTTCTTGCTGTACACTTGTCCTCTGCCTTCTGTCTTTCCATAGATGCACTGTCTTAAGACTGGGTTTAGAAAGATTGGAGTGGCAATCTGTCCAAGCTCCCCATTTTTTCATATATTTCTCTGTGGACAGATAGACCCATCTCAACCTGTAAGCCTCTGACTTGGCGTTATCTTTGAACGGTGGCTCTGACCATGTCTTCTCACTATTTTGCCTGGATTATCTTTATTTCTCTCTACTTTGTCACTGGAAGTGGGCCAAACAGAAAGAAAGCTTGACCCTCTGCTGAAAGGGTCAGAGGCTCTGAGGCTCACTCAGAACATGACGTTCCAGAGGCACGATGCATCTCAATGCTGCCCCGTTTTCGTGGGGAGTGGCAAGTGACTTCGTGACTTTTTGAACAGCCCGTCTTGTCCAGGCTGGCTCTCTGTAAGCGATTCCATGCGTCATTTACTTCTATGCTCAATGCTCTGTCGCTGTGTGGGAAAGTCCTCATCGGAAGGCACGCTAGCAAAAGATTAAGTAGAACACATCAAACAGTTACAGGTCTAGAAACATGAATGTCTGCAGCTGTGTTCTATTAATAGATAAGTGTTGATAGGATTCCATTCTCATTTCAAGCATTTGAAATATAATGACTGGAACCCTGCTTTGCATAGCAGCTCTTTCTGCCTCCTGGGTGTATTCTGCCACCTCTCTCTCTGGTTCTCCCTGATTCAGTTTTTACCTCTAGTGGTTCAAAGATTTGGGGAGGGTGAGATAGGGCTTGAGTCAGGCTTTGTGTGCCTGTTTTCCCAGGAGTTTCAGGATACAGTCCCTGAAGAATTATCTGGGGTTTGTAGATCAGAAGGTAACAAATACTCCATTGATTGTCAAAGACACAGAGCCCTGCAGGCAGAACCCCATTAGACTGTGCCCATAAAGGACCCAGTGGCTTCTCACTGGTGTATGTGTTAAAGATTACCAGCCTTGATAGTCCTAAATTTCAAAAACTGACCAAGTGAAGAAGAGAAAAAACGAAGGAAGACTTGCAACTATGGCTTGCTATGGATTAGGCTCTGGGAAGACCAGATATCAAAAGGAATGATGGCAGGAGGAATGGCTTGTAATACAGTGATACACAGTGTGATGTATTTAAGCTTCGGGTTACAAAAGCCCAGCAGAAAATCAACTCTAGCAATGTGACATTATAGTAGCTCCTTTGGAAGGTGTCTCAATTCTTGACCAAATCTGTGCTTTTTTATTTATTTATTTATTTATTTATTTTTGTTTGGTTTGGTTTGGTTTTTCGAGACAGGGTTTCTCTGTGTAGCCCTGGCTGTCCTGGAACTCACTTTGTAGACCAGGCTAACCTCGAACTCAGAAATCTGCCTGCCTTTGCTTCCCAAGTGCTGGGATTAAAGGCATGCGCCACCACCGCCCGGCTGCTTTTTATTTTTAATTACTATTTATTTTATGTATATGAAGGCTTTGCCTACATGTATCTGTGCACCACAAGCATTCCCGATGCCCTCAGAAGCCAGAAGAAGGTGTTGAATCATGTGGTCCTAGGGTTATAGATGGTTGGAAGCTGCCAGGTGGGTACTGGGAATCACACCTGAGTCCTCTAGAAGAACAGCCAGTGTTCTTGACCACTGAGCCATCTCTCCAGGCCCGCTTCTGTACTTTCAATGTGTTATTCATCTTAAACTTCCGCACAGTCATTTCATTTTTTCATTTTTTTCTCCTTCCTGTCAAGGCTTACCTGTTTGCCAAAAAGAGTGATGCTTTAAAATAAACTTTTAAAATAAGGTTTATTTATTTATGTATATGAGCACACTATAGCTATCCACACCAGAAGAGGGCATCGGATCCCATTAATAATTGTGAGCCACCATGTGGTTGCTGGGAGTTGAACTCAGGACCTCTGGAAAGGCAACCAGCACCCTTAACCGCTGAGCCACCCTTCCAGCCCTAATATAAACTTTTAAAATGAGTGTTTCATGTGATGTAGCCTGCTGGTTCTGTCGTGCACGGAGTCTGTCTGGTAGGTTTCTGAGGCTCCTTCCCTAATACCTTTCATAAAGATATAAATAAATGATATGTGTGTCCCCTCTCCATCTTTTCTTTTCCTGATTTAGACTATGAATCCTCCTCTTCCTCCACCCCCTCTCCTGGCTGCCACTGTACTGGCCTCCACCCCATCAGGCGCTACCGCTGCTGCTGTTGCTGCTGCCGCTGCTGCCGCCGCAGCCACTGGAATGGGACCCAGGCCTGTGGTGGGATCCACTGACCAGATTGCACATTTACGTCCTCAGACTCGTCCCAGTGTGTAAGTGAGGGTGTCTTTATTATTGTGTAAACACTCATCTCAAACAGCACAGATCAAGAAACACATGTCTGATAGGAGCTACTGACAGGCTTAGGGCTCAACCAAGTGGCTTGTATTCTGGAAACTTCTACCCAGTCATGCATATAATTAGTAAGACACTTAGAATGAGCCTAATGTGTGCCTGGTGGGTGGTGTGCCTTTGAGAAAAGGCCTTTCAGTTTAGAGGAATTTCTGTTCTCTCCTTTATAGGCCGTCTATCTAGAAAACTGCTGTTCTTCTATACAGCTCTGTCGTAGTCTTTCTTTCTTCAGTTTCATTCCTGGTATCACGATCTTAAGCAGCAGTTCTCAACCTGTGCGTGTTGACCCCTTTGGCGGAAGGGAAGGGTTGAGTGACCCTTTCACAGAGACCGCATATCAGATATTTACAATGCCATTCATAGCAGTAGCAAAATGACACTTATGAAGTAGTGACAAAAATAATTTTATGGTTTGGGGGGCACTACATCAGGGGCTGTATTAAATGGTTGTAGCATTAGCAAGATTGAGAACTGCTGATCTTAAAAAAACAGGAAGGTATTCCACACACATCAGGTCTCCCTGCAGAGAACTGTAAGCATACAGAAAACTGTAAGTCCCCAGCAGTAAGAATCCAGAGACGTCCAGTTGTCCTGCGCAGTTTGCCGCTGACAGAAGGCATCTGCTTTGTGTAGGTCTGCACCCGTAGGGTTCAGAGCACTGGCCGATGTATAGGTCAGTCGCCTGCCTGGTGTCTGTGTGGACAGGCACCTTGTACTCGGCAGCTCTTTTGTGCTTTCTACAACCTAGAGTTCCTTTGACTTTCTCTATTACAGTCAATTTCGTGGCTGAGCTCAGAAATGCAGGTGCAGCCTCAGCCTGCAGGTGCAGTGTGCATAGAAGGCAACATATTGTGTTTCCCAGTGGAATTGTATGCCCATATGCCCTCATCTGGGGCTCATTCCCAAGTCTAACAAGTGCCATTTTGAAGAGCTCCATTTTCTCAATGGGCTCCTAATCCAGAGCCCTAAGGTAGACACTCTTGGAAACCGCATTTATTCTTTCATAGCACATTAATAACATTTGGAGGAGGGACACTCTTAATCAAAAAACAAAAGCCTCCGCCTGCATTCAAAGGGCAGACGGCAAAACCTCTTTCTGTGGAGACTTCCCGGCGCTGCTTGCGGTTAAGATTGTATGTCCTGTGTTTGAGGTACTTAAGACCTTAGCCCAAGCAGGAGTGTGGAGATCTTGGGGTTTGCCTGCTACCTTGACATTTTTTTTCTTTTCTGTAGATATGTTGCTATATATCCATACACTCCCCGGAAGGAAGATGAGCTGGAACTGAGGAAAGGGGAGATGTTCTTGGTGTTTGAGCGTTGCCAGGATGGTTGGTACAAAGGGACATCCATGCACACCAGCAAGATAGGTGTCTTCCCTGGCAACTACGTGGCGCCTGTCACAAGGTATGTCACCGGATCAGCGCTTTATTCTGCATCCTAGAGAGGGCGTTTTGTTCTTTCGCAGGCTTTTCAGCTCATGCAGAGCCCTGCTTGCGATATAATTACCTGTTGTGTAGCCAGGGTTTGTAAAATCCATATCTATATCTGCTAAAATTCCTTCTAATACCAAGACTCTTAGCTCACTTTTCATGTGGATATGTGTGGAAATTATAGGTTTCCACCAATAAATGTGCTGGGGTGTAAGCACTCTACTTTAATTTATATGTGAAAAGACTCAACTGTTCCATTTTCAGTATTTTTCTACTAAAGAAATTAAAGGCTATATTATTAGTGTGTGCGTGTCTATGCAGTGTCTGCGATATACACCAGACAGGCTGATTCCTAAACATGGCATTATTGACTCCTGGTCTTCGGTTCTCTAATGTAGTTAGAAGATGCCCTTGTCATCTTCCCACTTAATAAATGGGAGAAAGTGAGGCACAGAGAGACTAAATAACTTGCCTGCAATCACATAGTAAAGAAGTGCTCGGCCGTGCAGTGGTGGCGCACACCTTTAATCCCAGCACTTGGGAGGCAGAGACAGGCGGATTTCTAAGTTCGAGGCCAGCCTGGTCTACAGAGTGAGGTCCAGGACAGCCAGGGCTATACAGAGAAACCCTGTCTCAAAAAAAAAAAACCAAACAAACAAAAAAAGAAATGCTGGAGCCCACACTGGCTAGGTCTGCTTTTATATCATTAACTTTTAATTAATTGCCTTTGAATTCTGGCAATTAATCTTTGTAATAGAGTCAAAAATAAATATTCCTTAAATACAACATAAGTGAATTTTAAATAAAGATAGTTTTGCTCTATATGAGTCACTTGCCAATAGTTGGACATATTTTTGGGTTTCTCAATTGGTGATGCTGGCAATCAGTGGATACAGGAAAGGGATTCTACTGAATCATGCCATATGCAGGATACTGCCCTCCCCTAATAGCCTCTTCCATCCATTCTGTTTCTGTGATAAAATACTCTGACCAAAAACAACTTATGGGAGGAAACGGTTTATTTTTGGTTACAGCTTCAAGTCACAGTTTATTATTGAGGAAAGTTGAAGACAGACCTGGTTGTTATTGCATACAGCATCAGCCAAAGAAGTCTGGCAGGAGCCGTGCTGGACACTGCTTGTTGGCTCATAGGCAGGTGTTAGTTGAGCCATCTTTTCGTACAGCACAGGACCACATTCCCAGGAGAATAGTTTACCCACAGTGGTCTAGACTTGGAAAACCCCACACACATATATCCACAAGTCTGTCCCTAAACTGAGGCTGTACCAGGTTAGTCAAAGCTAACCAAGATACCCTCAAAAAGGAATAATGTGGCTCCAGATGTCATTTGGACCCAGAAACCCTCATGTGTGTACTACACACACATGCTATGCACATACACACACCCCCATGCACATAAAACTATTTTTCTTTTAAGATAGTGTACCTTCTGGTCATTGAGGCTGAAAGAAATGACCTATAATGACATTAACACTGCCCCAGATTTTGATCACTGACTCTTAATAAGCAATTCAGCTCTAACTATGTTAAATCATGCCTCCAACCTCCTGACTTTAAACAAATGGCTTAATGAACTGACATGTTTGTCAGCCGTTGTCCTTGATTTATAGGTTGGCCAGCAGCCTAATCAAATGAAAATCACTATTGTTGCAGATGGTGACAGAATGTTAGCTCCAATTTGACTTGTAGATTTTTAATCAATATAAATCTTTTCTGTACATGTTAAAATATATATTCAGGATCTGACACATCCAGTAAATGGCAACTAGAACCCTCCTGATATGCGTGTGTGTATGTATGTGTGTGTGTGTGTGTGCCTATTTATATATTTATATGTGTTTATATATAAATACATATATCATACATGTATAATTAAACAAGGGAAATACAATAATGCAGAATAAAATTAACAAAAGATCACATTTTCTGCAAAATTCCAAACCAGACTGTTAAAAGTCTCTGCACATTTAACTCTGGGGAAACGCTTGCTTACAGCAGCTGCTCTGTAATGCACCATTGTGGAAGGATACTCTTGATAACGAAGTATTAATTGTAGATCCATTATAAAATTGCTATACACAGAATTGCCACTTAAATGAATTGATATTATTTAAAAATACACACAACACAAAGCTACTGCATACTTGATTAAACTCAGCTCTAAGTCAGTGTTTAGAGCTGACTCTATCGCTATCGCTGGGACAATGATGGAAGAAGAGAAAAGAGCCCTCGTGCGCTGGCCTGAACTCCGGGGGGGGGGGGGGGTTATGTTGGGAGTGGGTGTCTGCAGCAAGGCAGTATGACAGCATGGACTCACAGTGGGTTTGTGGCTACATGCAGAAGATCAAGCCAGCCCAGATCCCAGCATGGATGGGCGAGGGGCTCAGGAAGCCCCAGCCATAGCTGAGGAGCCATTGGCAATTGACAGCTACTAGGAGAGCAAGTCAGTTTTCTTCAGGATGCAGCCCCTGGAGGCAGTCCATGGCCCTACATCCATGCACATAACGGTGGCACCACATGGGCTCAGTGGGCTTAAACAGAAAAGGCAACAGACACACATGAAGTTGAAGGAGAAAATGGATGGGAAAGATAGGGCAAGGAATTGAAGGGAATGAGTCTGGGAAAAGCATGTTGACACATGTAGGAAATTCTCAAAAAAATTAAAAGTGTGCCATATTCAGTAATCAAGAGGCAAGCTGTAATCAGTTTACGGAGAATAAAACTGGAAAGGAGGAAGCAGTCTCCATGAAATAATTAAATCATAAGGCGAGACTTGAACTTAAGGTGATGCTTCTTAAATGACTTGGTCTGTGCTGGGTCTTGAACTTGGGATTGTGATAGGTCATCAGAAAAAAGCCAAAAGGGACATTCCAATTGTGTGCAGAGTGTGTGTGTGTGTGTGTGTGTGTGTGTGTATGCAGTGTGTGTGAGTGTGTCAGAGT